TCTCATTTGACAGATGTCTCATTAAATTCATCTCAAAGTTGAGGTAAGAGATGCCTTTGAAAACTGGAGTGGGGTGAGGCACACCTGTTAATTCTAAGAAAACTTCGAGACGACTCAAAATGCACATAGCTTCCCTCATGCCGAACATGACATTAATAGTATGTGGCATCGGAAATCACCCGCCATGGGAGAGATGCCTCTGTGCATGTGTTTGACATCCCTAGGGATACAAACAGTATGGAAGGCTAGAGAATCAGGGCCCACCCCACCAGCTGCTTAACAAAATTTCACAAATCCAATTCAACAATGTTTACACCAAAATTTTATAATTTTACACCAAGTTTTATAGTAGACTTGGATCATATACAACTTTTACTGAAAGCTATATTGTCAGTAAGCTAAACACTAATTCAGAACTCTAAAAAGAAAGAATGAACAACAAAACACCTTACACTTAAAAAAAAGTCACCATTGGATAACCACGCCTTTCAGATGGTTGATAAAATATTACAGCAACAAAATGATACAACTTTCAACCAGGAAACTTTAACTCCCATCTCCTCTCGCTACAATTGTTTCAGTGAACACCAAAGACACTCCCCTTGAAGACTAACCATGAAATTCACAGAGAATAGCTGACTTATTCTGTAGCTCTTCATAACTAAAAAATGCACAACAGTTATGTAACACCAATAAGGCACTAATGGTTACTAAAGTAGAATTTTTTTTTTTTAATAAAAGGTTTAGGCAAACCCTTCATGATGGGTACTTTTGACACTTTACAAATAAAGATATAGTCTGAAGGAACTGAACTGTCAAACACCTCCACCCTCAACAGGCATCCACTTTTCAGATAAATTCTCTATATCCAAATTAAATCTCTATATCCAAAGATGTCTAGTCTGTTTTTACAAATGAGGAATGCTTGAATGAGAGGAATGAGAGAAAGAAAAAAAATACCATTAGGTAAACTATTACATATCAACTTAAACACAAGTGTGACCATTAATAGCAAGCAGAGTATTTAGAACACTTCAGTACTCTATTTTGGTACTCCTTCTTTGCCAGGCTGGGTTCTTTATGTTTTTAAAGGGAACATGATAAAAAATAGAGCTGTCCATACTTCACAAGGAACACCACTTTGGACAAGGGGATAATGTTGCCTCATTACCAACAAAAATAGCATATTTTCTGAATGCTTTTAACCAAGTGAAAAATTCAAGTGTAAATGAAATTCAACATTGATTCATGGAAAGTGGTATGAGCTGAAAAACAGAATATCCAGCTCTCCCTTCTCAGCTCTGGCCAGGACTGAAAAACCACAAGAGTCAAACCTCTCTGTGCACCAGTTTCTGAAGAGAATTGAAACCTATTGCTCCCTAGCAGTGTTTTTGAAAGGATAAATGAGATGATTTTCTTGAATGCCCTTTCAGATTTTAAACAATAATAAAGACAAAATATTAATAGATGTTATCACAGGAGAGTGATGATGGAAAAGACAGCACATACTTTACATTAAAATATAACAAGCGTACAATTTAAACATAAGAAGAAACAAAGTTAAGCCCTTTGTTCTTAAAATTAAAGGACTGTTCCAGCACACACTGGTGTCACATGTTCATACCACGTTACTCAATCCTTCTGTAATTATAGTAATAAGAGCCTGCTTGTCAATATTACAGCTTAATCCTGAACCACCCCTTCTTGTTTCCATGTAGGAAACCATGTCAGGCTTGATCATTCCCAGAAGAGAAAAAGAGGAGAAATATGAGAGGGGTAAAGGGATTGCTCGCGACCCCGAGAATCACACATAAAATACCATGTCCACGATACCCTAGGCACAGTGGGTGTGCTCTCCATTCTGCCAACATCTTTTCTCACTATTGTTTGAAATGAAATCGCTATACTAACTCTGAAAGGTGGCAGACAAGAATCAAAACACATTTTGAAAAGTAGTTGAATACTGCCCTTGATCAATGACACAGCTTATCCAGGAAGTCCAAAACACAAGCTCCTTAATGGGCTGAACTCTATGACTTAAGTCAGGCAGCCGAAATTGTTGCATTTTTTTTAACCTGAAATTAGTCTTTCCAGTAAAAGTTAAGATGGTTGATTTTAAGAGGAAATTAAACGTGAGTATATGTAACATAAGTAACTTAAGATGAAAGCCTTTTAACTTTGTTCATGTTTTAGATCAGCTAAAAGAAATGGCTGCCTAGTATTGAGGTTCAAAAACAGTTTCAAATAAGTTTTCATTAGCAGCTGCATTACTAGATAGCACCCTTTGTCCAAAGTCTTTAAATTCATTAAAGATTTTCATCTTATTCTATTATACCTAACTACCCAAAGCAACTACGAATGGTTTTCAAAACCCTTCAAGAACAACAAGTTAGACTATAAACACTAAAATTTATAGAAAGGTGACCCTTAAGAGAAGAAAGTTGCCTGCCAGACAAGCACATTTTACAGAGACCAACTGACTACATAAAAGAAACAGCAGATAATATACTGAATTTAAATACAGGAAGATAATCAAAAGGCTTCAAACGACAATACTCTTGTGTGTCCTTAACTCCAACTATGCACACACAAAATGTGCAGGAATAAGTGTGAGTTACAAAAACAAACAGAGAACACAGCCCTGGCTTCAAGGCTTTCATCTAAAGCATACATTCGTTCTCTTCTTCTATGAAAAAGAATTAGTAGCAAAAGTAGCACCACGATGTTGGGTGTCCCACATTTCACTGGAGCACAGAGGTAGTTTCTAGGAATCTCCTCTCGCTGGTATGAAGCTTCACTACATGTGCAATCCATGCAATGTTCCCATAATAAGCAAGCCCACCTTATAACAAGGCTCTTGATTGGTTAAAAACTAAACGTCCTCCAAGTGGACTCACTATATGCTCGATTTTGTTCTGTGACAAATGAATATCAACACAGAGACATTTGTTATATTAATTTAGGCTTAAACTAAGCTAAATTTTTAAGAAAACCAAAATAAACAGGCATGGTTGTAACAGATGTCTTAGCTACCTTCTGGGACACCTGTGCACTGGCTTCAGATTCAAGGATGGGTTGGGTCCTCCGAGTGACTTCCCATTTCTTTAGTTATTGTTACAATGCACATACAGAAGCATATATATATTTATGCATATGGAACTAATGCAAGTAAGTTCAATGAAGTTAACAACTACTGTTTTAAAAAGAGCAACAACAAAAATATAAGATTTAATCAGAAAGATAACTTATCACTTCCACAATAAGTTTTTTTTTTAAATCCTTGCATATTATCCACTTAGAACATTTTAGATATAAGTAGGCATTAAATAACCAAGGAGAATCAAAGATTTTCATTTTATTATGACACCTAAAATCTTCCCCATGACCAATATATGCATGGGATAGAGAGACTTTCCACATAAAATATAGTTGATACTGTTCAATGTAACACATCCCTTTGTTCCTATATATATTTCCGGCAGTGTAATTAGCTTGGTTATAAGGGCACTTACAAATTATTGTCATTCCAATCGTGAACATCATTTCATGCTTTCATGAAATGACAATATTTTACAAATTACATGAGCTACAGGAGAAAGGGATATAGTCATTACTCCCATATTAAAAAGAAAAAACTATTTCCCAGGTCATAAACTTATAAGGTATGTCATTCACTGAATATTACCATCAGCTACCGCAGGTGCTACTGTACTATGATAAAATTATAAGGAAAAATTTCAGAAATTCACTTAAAGAATTACACAAAAGCTTCAATGAAACAGAGTAACCTGTCACCCAGAATGCTACTGGTCTTGTGTATTTCAGTGTAGTAGTAAAGATTTCGTCATTGAAACTGACTAACTGTAAGCACTACACAAACTGAACGAGAAACATGTTCCATTAGAAAGTGACTACAGAGTTACAACTTGGATTATTTTTCCAAGATCACCCACAACACTGAAGAGTTAAGTTAGAGAAGATTTATTTCTCTTAACTTTGCTAAGCTAATTTTATTTTAACAAAATTCCTTATTCCTAAGAACACAGTTCTTCAAACCAAAGGAGGAAAAGGATGCAAACAACTTTGTAAAGTCCAAATATAACAACCAGGATCTCTGGCTTCCTAATTCAACGTGTGCCAAGGCTTTAGCCAAGAATAACAGTAGTCACCTCCAGTCAAGAACTTGATCTAATATGCCAATTACATCTCAATAAAGTTGGAATAAACGTGTAAATGAAAATAATTTTAAGCTGAGACTGAGCAAAAAGCTATTAAATCAAATCTCGAGGGACAGTAACTATTTAAAATCCTTATTGTGATCCTAATGCTAGACCCCCTGCATTGGTCAGTTCTGATTATAAATGCTGGAAGAAAGGAGAGAAAGAAGCAGAAATAATCACTTTTGATGCAACAATCAAACTCGCAGAAGAAACTGAAATAAAGCAAAAATGGGGGAAGCTGCACTAAAAAAGTATCCTATCAGTTAGGTTTCTGGCGGGGCTGGGAGGGAAACTAAGCACGACCGGGAGCAGGGGAGACGCCAGTAGCCAGGAGCTCCTGGGGGCTTATTAAGGTTCCAGTGGCCCACTGCGGACACCACCAAGGCGGCGGGTCCTAGCTTGTATTATGTGGGTATTATGTGGATCCGGTAGTTGGCCTGAAGTGCCAGAGGAGGAGAGGCCTGAAGAAGCGCCTTCATTGTTAAATGCTCTGCCGCCTCCCAGGAGTGTCTGCTGCCTGCACTTCCTGAGCGTTCGGCCACCTCCTCACACTGTTTTCCAATCTGACTCCTCAAGATGGACAGAAAGTCGCGGGTTTCAAAATCGCTCCATTTAGTATCGCGGGTTACCTGGGCAGGCTGTTGGGAAGTAGCAAAGCCTTAGGATCGGAGGCCACGCAAACCCTTGGGTTGGGCAGAGCGACCTCCGATCAGTCCCGAGCAGGACTCAGGGTCTGAAGAGCCAACACCCCGCGAGTCCAAGCGCAGGTGATCGCCTTACCTGCGTAGAAGCGGACGAGACAGCCAATCTCCGAGTCCATGCCTTCCTCCTGCACCCGCCACAACTCCCCAAATCCCAGTTGGAAGAGGTAGTCATTCTGGATCTGCAACGGCTTCTCGTCTGCCTCCAGGCGCCGGGTGGTCTCTCCGTGGAGCTGCACGTACAGGCTGGGCGGTGGGGGCGCCTTCTCCGCGTTCGCCCCGCCGCCCCCGGGAGTCGACGGTGGGCGGCCAGGGACAGCGAGGGTCGCCTTTTCCTCCCCA